CAGTAGGTGTCTGTGGCCAAAGGGGTGGGGGAGAGGCTGAAAGACACGGCCTCGCCCTGGACTATCGAGAGTCCTCTTGCGGATGGATGTTTGGAAGAGAGGAGAGATTTTACATAAAAAGTGAAGAGACTTCGATCTTTGAAAATCTGAATTATTTCTTATGGGCTCCTTGCCTTTTGCTGGTTTCTTTGGATCCTCCGCCCCATGCCCCTTCCCCCTGCACCCCACATACTGGCCAGACCCACAGAGGACGGGCTTCCGCTGGCTTTGCTGGAGCCCCCCGGCCTCCCTCTGTGACCCCTTCTGGGAGCTCCCGGGCAGGTCAGCCCAATGCTCTGTCGGGTGACCGCCAGGAGCCGCCCAGGGCGCTCAGACCCTCTGCTGGGGCCGCCCCCTGTGCCCAGGGCAGGCTATCGTCCCCTCGCCTGGCCTCACCGTCCCATCCCTTCCCGTCCCCGCTGACCTACTCCCCCGCGTGGAGGGACACCCCGGGGCCTTCCCCCCTTGACTTCACGGTCATCCCGCGCCACGGGGTACGTCGGGGCCAACGCACGCCCGTGTGCGACGACAACTGCCGAAAAGAGAACGCCAGAGCCTATTCTTCTTAAATCACCATGGGATTTTCTGTGATCGTGAAAATACCCCAAACCCTTTACAAAACTGAAATCGTAAAGCTAAAAGGGACCTCCTGGCCCACAGCTCAGAAGGGATTCCCCAGGCGGAAAGAGTAGGTTCCCGAGGGGATTGCAGGAAGCCCAGGACGGGGACCGTCAGGGATGAGCCCCCGGGAGCCTGGGGGAGGCTGGCCGGACCAGCAGACTGGGCCTCAGCTGCCGGGGCTCGGTGGGCCTGGCACGGGCCGGCAGGAAGGGGGCAACGAAGAGCAGGAGCCCCCAGGGGTCCCGGAGGAGACCTTGAGGGAGTGGCGAGTCCCCATCAGGCAGCCCCGAGGAGGGGCGCAGGAGCCGGGGTGAGGCAGGGGGCCGGGCTTACCTGCCCCAGGCCTCTGCCCCCGCATCCATGTGTCGGCCCCTTCACCACCTCCGGCTCTGTGTCCGCCGCGTCTCGGCCTCGTCACGCCTATGCTGTCCTCTTGGGTGCTCTTCAAGGACCCAGGAGCCTTATAAGCCATCGGAGCTCCTGGAAGCGGCTGAGCTGGTATTACTGGGACACACCCTTCCTAGACTCGGGCTACTCATGCCACCTCATGGGTGTTGACGTAGAAGGAACTTCTCTGTCAGCTGTCACATCCCTAGGTCCTCGGGGGTCAACTTAGGTTTTGGTTTCTCTGCTCTGCCAAAGGCCCTACTCGGAAGCCTCAAGGAGCGACCGAGGGCAGAGGAGGTCCGGGGAGGGTGCGACCTCTCCGGGCAGCAGGGACCAGCAAGGCGGGAGGAC